CGATAGTAACATATATCATTAAGTTAATGACCAGTCATCTATGCTGTGATGGTAAACGGCATTTGAGTCCTGTAATATACTAAAATTGATGGGAGAATCGACGTGTCCATATACTTATTTTACTATATACTCTAATAGTGGAGTCACGTTAGTGGAGTCACGTTTGTAACATTGATAAAAATAAATAAATTGTGTCTTTGATTGAGAAATATTTTAGTATTTTTACATGAGTTATTTATCATAATCATAGTAATAAAGACAACGACGATTATGATGGTGGTACTAATTGTAGTAATGATGATGATAATAATAATAATAATGGTAGTGATAGTTGTGGTAATAGTAATAGTAGTGGTAGTTGTGACCGTGGTGGTAGTGATAATAGTTGTGGTAGTGGTCATTGTTGTCATAATAGTAGTAATTGTAGTGGTAATAATAATGATAATAATAATGATAGTATCACTGATGAGATTTGATATATAGAAATTTAATGATACGAGCAATTTTAACTTGTGGTACATTAAGAAGTGTGACTTGTTAGTTCAAATGTTTATTTAAGACACTAAAAGATATATGCGATTTATCTAAGGGTGTAAATGATAATGAGAAACAAGATGCTATAAAAATGACACATAGTGTTATTGAACTTTGTTTGTATGGTGAGATTCTAAGAAAGGTGTTAAGGACACCATAATTGTTGGATTTTAGACAAAGTTGAAAAATCTTTACATAACCAAATCTATGACAAGTTGATTGTATCTAAAACATTGATCGTATACTCTCTGAATGAAAGAAGATATGCCTATTAAAGATCATTTTAATGAATTCAATAAAGTAGTTTTAGATCTGTGAAATATTAATACCAAGGTTGAAGATAAGGATCAGATTTTAATTTTATTATATATGTTACCTCCATCTAATGATTATTTTATTGATACTTGTTGTGGGGAAGAGACATTTTTAGTTTAAAAGATGTCAAAGCTTTCTTAAACTCTAAGGAGTTAAAATATAAGTTTTAGAGAGTTATAATGATGATGTAAAGGGCTTGATTATGAAAGGCATAACAAATAATAATGGTTTATATAGTGGAGACAAGTCTAGATCAAAATCAAAATCAAAATCTATGAAAATTAAATAGTTTAAATGTTATGAAGTATGTCACTTTAATAAGAACTATCCAAGTAAAAAGTTAAGTGAAAGAAAAAGAAAATCGCTAATGCTACAGATACTAGTGAAGTGGAAATTTTTGATGATGCTGAAAATATTCTAGTTGTATTTATTGGTAGCTCAAGTGATGAGTGGATATTTAATTTCGGTTGCATATTTCATATTTATCCTAATAAAAGTTGGTTTGACGCTTATAAAGTTGTCAATGGTATTGCTTTATTAAAAGACAACAAATAACTTTTTGTTATTAGTGTGGATGCAATTCAAATTAGAATGTACAATGAGATTGTTTGAACATTAGAAGTTCAACATGTTCCAGAGATGAAGAAGAATTTAATTTCCTCGAGTGTTATGGATTCCTAAGGTTATGGTTTTCGTGCTAAAGGTGGAGACTTGAGGGTTTGTAAGGGTACTAGTGTTATGGATTCCTAAGGTTATGGTTTGGTTTGTAAGGGTATTCTTGTCATAATAAAAGAAAAGTTGGTTAACGGTCTTTATCATCTTTAAGATTCAACAATTATTGATTAAGTCAATATATTATTTTTTGTTGGTTCAGATAGTGCTTCCATCTAGTTATGACACATACTACTAGAATAAATGAGAAAAATAAAATTTGTTATGTGGTCATAAAATAAGTAAATAAAGATTTATATGAGTATTGTGTTGATGATAAATAATGAATATATAATAAAATTCAGTACGACTATCCATCATATCAAAGGTATTGTGGATTAAGTTTATTCTAATATTTGGGTTCCTTTTATGATATCAAAAGGCGAAGCACAATATATATTGAATTTATTTATGGTTATTTTAGAAAGGCCTAGGTGTGTTTTATGAAGAGAAAAAGTAATGTATTAATCACCATTAAACAGTGAAATGATTTAATTAAAAAGCAAATTGATAAGAAAATAAAGCATTTAAAAACTAATAATGGTTTAAAATTCTACCCAAGTGAGTTTGATGAATTTTGTAGGAATGAAAGAATCATTAGATATCACATTACTAGGAATACACCATAATAAAATAAAGTTTCAAAATTTATGAACAAAATACTTTTAGAAGAAGCATGTTGAATGCTCTTATAACCTAGATTGTAAAAATTAATAATAATAAATTCTGCTAATATAATCAACATGACTTGTTATCTAGTGAATAGATCTTTATTGATAATTTTAGAGTTTAAGACTCCATATGAAGTAACAAGTGTTAATACAATCAGTTAAATCTTTTATATTGGAGACAATATTATATAAAAGAGCAACAAGCCCTTTTAATTGGTGTCAGTTCTTTCTCTAATGGAAGTCGAATTTGCTAACCTTTAAGTCAGATTCATTCACATCAACAAGGAATTTTACCTTGTTTCATCAAATAATGCCTGCCATAACTTATGAAAGGATTACTAATAGTATCTTAGTTAGAAAGGATTAGGAAGAAAAATGATTCTATCATAAGGCTTAAATTAGTGACTGAATAGTTTATGTTAGAAAAAAACATCATTTTTGTCTATCAACTCACCTCTTACTTTATATGAGCTTGGTCCCTTTCCACCTGATTTTGATGAACTTATGATTTGCATGGGAAGCTTGAATGTGAAGGTTTAAACAAATTTTCTTGCTTCAATTTAATTAAAAAAAAAAACAAAGCTAGTTTAACTATCTTTTCTTACTATATGTGTTGGATAAAAAAGAAATAACCCTAGGTCTTGTTCTCTTACTGATTACTCTAAGATAAGAATATTTGGATATCATATTTATGCTTATATTAAAAAGATAAACTTGATAGTGATAAAGCCTATTTTTATAGTTAAGTTCAAGCATTGCTTGGACTTGGTTAATTTATGTAGTACTTAAAAGGTTTTTGGTGGAGGCGATTAAAGAGAAGTTTAGGTTTTGTAAATTGACTCAATTAAGTCAAGATGAAGATTTATTGAGTTTATCTTAAATTATAGGCATAAGTAAGAAAAGAAATACCAATGTGTTTAGTTTGTATATAAAAGCCTAAAATTAATATGTTCTAGAACAAGTTTTGTTTGAGGGTGCTTCTGTTCTCTACACTTTGATGGCTGGAGAAAAAAGAGAAAATATGAGTTTTTGGGTTACTTTGGAATTTGTGATGAGATATTAATTTTATACAATGCCTTATTATCCCTTACTTTTTTATACTTTTTTATAATGAATTTCTTTGATCGTTTCACTCATGAAGTAGGTCTAAGTTGTTGATCTAAGTAAATCATGTGTATGCTTTAGTGTGATTGATTATGTTTTTATATATATATACACACACTTGCCAATCAATTTAAGATTTTATGGTTATTTTCACTATATGGACAAACTTGATCGAAACTTAGTCATGTTAATGCCAAGAAAAAAAAAAGAATAAAGAAATTGTATAATTAATTTAGGTTGACTCGATAACTCACAAATTGATCTAATAACTCAATGACTCCGCAAAATTCTTTTATAAAGTCTACTAATTATGATATGCACCATCCTTGATTTCTTAACAAAAAAAAAATATTAATAGAAAAAAGAACATAGGAAAAAAAGGAACAACCATTACCCATTTTTTCTAGTAAGACCTCTTTAGTTCTTATAATATGATTGGTGAGTTATTCAAAACTAGGTAATTTTTTTTTAATTTTATTAAGAGTCCATTTATTAAAAAGTATATTTTTACCCTAATCACATATTTAAAAGTATATAATTTATTCAAAACTAGGTAATTTTTTTTTAAATTTTATTAAAAGTCCATTTATTTTACGTGGTGTAGTATACTTTTACCCTAATCACATATTTAAAAGTATATAATTAATTAATACACATTATAATTTTATATGAATCCCATTAAAAATTCTTTTTTAAAACTTTAGTTAAAAAATTTATGATTTATATTCTTTAAATTTAGTTTTTCAAATTATAATAATTAAAACTATGAGAATATCAAACACATTATAAGTTTCCAAACCAATAGACTAAATCCAAATATACACAAGCTAATTATTAACATAAATAAATAATATTTAAAAAATAAATATAAGTACCATATTTGAGATTTTTTAATGCAATAAAAGAAGGAAACATTTCAAATCAATGGCAAATAATAAAACAAAACTTCGTATTCTTTGTTTACATTTTCAATTGTAAAGTTTTTATCAAAATATTTTTAGGATGGTAATAGATATTCATGAGTTGGGTTTCTTAATATTTATATTTTATTTATTATTTATGGAATAATAAATTTAAATATTTATAAATTATTTATTTAGTTACGGATATGCATTATTTAATTATTATTTATTACTTAAAAAAATAATATATATGTGCGTGTTGTCAATATTAAAAAAAAATTATTATATTAAAAAAATATAAATATTTTACAAATATATCTATATAGCATAAATATATATTACAAGTTAAAATCAAGTAAATTTTAATAAATTTAATAATATTTATATCTTACTCATTACCTATTAAATAATATAATTATTCAAAAACTTTTTATTCATTTAAATTGAGTGATGTTAATATCTATTAAATTTAGATTAAATTGTCTTCCTCTGTTTTTTTTATAAAGTCAATATTGCTTGGAATATATATATAGTTTTTCTCTCCATTTTTATTAGTGATTTTTTGTATTGCATTGATTTTACTAACAAGAAAGAAGGGGAGGAAATTCAGTGTTTGCGTGAACCAGTTTACGCAAAAGCAGTCAGTGGCAGGCAGTCACTGCCACCTCACCTTTTTTTTTTTTGTCAGTACAATACATCAAACCATACCACCAATGCATTAAATTTAAAAGGAAATAATAAAAAAAAGAATTTTCAGAATAATTTATTTCTCTTATTATTTTTTTCTCCAACTCCCACTCTCCAACCGCAACATCCTCTTCTCCCTGCCCTTATAACCATCCCACCACCATAACCATTTTTTTAACCTTTTCCCGTTGCTATTTCTATTGTTGTTGTTCTTATTATCATTATCATTATCATTATCATTATTGTTATTCTTTTGGGTTATCGAGTTGATGATGCATGTGGGTTTCTTTCAGATCCTATATATGATTGATTTTTTTCTCTCAAAATATTTTTTTTTTCGAGGTATGCTCAAGTTCTTCTTTTTTCTTTTTTGATGTTGTTGCCTGGTCTGTCTGTAGATGGATTGACATGTGATGTTTGTTTTGCAGGATCTTTGTGCTCTCTGAGCGAAATCATCTAGCATATTGAGGTATTTTTGGCCCTGTTTTTGTTTTTTTTTTCCCCATCTCTTTTTCTGGGTTGGATGGTTTCTATTTCTTTTGTGAATCTTGATGGTGATCTGAATCTTGTTGCTTCTCAGATATGCTTTTTATAATTTTTTTTCCTTTTTTTTTCCAAATTTATGAAGTCAGTTTACATTTCCATGTGTAGTTATCACAAAACAAAAACAAAATCTTCCTTTTTTTCTAAAAAAAAAAAACTTATCTTATGATTTTCAATAGACTTAACTTTTAAGTTTTCATCTTATGTTCACAATTCACATACCAGTTGTCCATCTTGCCACAAAGCATCTTTCTTTCTGACGTTATTCTTCTCTATCAGTTAATTTAGTCGCTTAACATCCTCATTCCTCATCTTATTTGCTTCAAAGGTAAAGGGAAAACACTTTTTCAATGGTTAATTACTATTATTATCCCATATATGAAATACTTTGAGTAGTATAATTGGAGATATTATTCTGGGTTAATTCCCTTTTCTTTATTCTTTCATCTATTTGCTTTTTATGATGATGCAAGGTGATCATCTTTAGGCCCTTTGCACTTTCAGTTTAGCATATTGAACCTTTTGAATCCTATTATTTTTTATTCCATGTAGTGATGGTTAAGCGGGGCTGGTGTGCGAATGCATTTCTTCCCAGCAGGCAATGCGACCCCATCGAAGTGGGTCAGTGTTTATTCTCACTAACATAATGGAAGCAGCATTGAACTAAGAGAAAAATAATCCTCGAGCTATTGGTTCAGTGGCAGGAAGGCTTGATTCCCTCGTTATCATCTTGGATTCATATCCAAGGAGTTGTGAAAAAGAAATTTTGTGTGAATGCACTGTTTGACAATGGGGAAGCCCACTCCTGCAAGAACTCAGCCTTGATGTGTGAAAGCTTCCTTGAAGATATCTGACCATTAGAACCAAAAAAATAATTGGGCAACAGTAACCTAAGAATAGTACGAGGGATACTAACACTGCTAAAATCTAAGAAAGTGTTGTGTTATTTATTTAAGGAGTGATGTGATAGATTAAGTCCTGCAATGATTGCAATATGTGATGTTAGTAAAAAGTTTTGTAGAAGTGTTAGCGCCCCAAAATTACTCTGACGACAGCCAAGCTTTGTGCACAATTTCCTTGCATTTGTGCTGGATGATACTTGCATATTGTTGTCTTTTTCAAACTCTTTTCCTTTGAGCACTGCATCCTGTGTATTTGCTTGTGTTGCTTCTAGAACCTGTGCAAGTGTCTAACCTGTTTAAAAATAATTATGTCTTATAGCAGTGCATGTACTTCATTTGCCCTGTGTAACATGACTGCAAGCTTTATATGGTTTTAAAATAATGTATCAATGTGTCTCAGACTCTTGGAACAATTGTGTTGCCTCAAATCCTATACACCTTGTCTTCTGTGCATTCTTACGTATTGATGACTATGCTTTATACACCTCATATATTAGTATGTATTGTATCTGTAGTATGAAGTATGTGCCACCTAGCTAGCTTAACTGGCTGCGGCATTGATGTGATGATGTGTCTATGTTTTCTTACAGGTATCATCAGGCATCCACATTTCCAGGTTTGAATGATCATCATAATATTGAATTTTTAAGTTTGAGCCCGAGTTGAATTATTTGAGGCAAGTCTTCACAGTTAGCCTAACATGCTTGTCATTTGAAACATCAATTTGTAGAAAAGAAAATTTGTCTCTTCCAATTAGTTTGAGTAGTGATTTTAGATATGGAATTTGGTGATGTGATCTTGTGAACCATCTGCTTCTTCTTCTTCTTCAGGTGAAATATCACTTGTAGCTGTGCCATTCGTAAGCTGTTATAACTTTATGATAAATTTGGTTTTGCTGGCAAGAAAATGTTGGGGGGCAACAATGGCAATTCTTTGCTTCCTGTTTTGATGGATGAGAATCATATTCCTTATCAGACTAACACATCAAACCAGTTGCAGTTGTTTGGTAATTGTGAGTTCTCATCTCATTAAGTGATATTCTTTTTTATTCTTAGTGACTGATTCTATAAATTGTCTATGGTGTATGTGTCTCTACTCTGTTTGCTCGTGGTCCTCTCTAGCAAATGAATTAAATGATTTACTATGTTAAGTGTGATGTAATAAACGTCTTAGGTATGGTCATGAGATAATGAGCTTCAGGCAACAGGTGCCCTTAATTAAATGTTATTAGTTCCTGAACCAGTTTTGTGGGATGTGTTATGAAAGGATAACAAGGCATTATGCATGTGTTGAAAAAGGAATGGTTATCTGGCTTTCTTCTTCTTCTTTTTTGTTTTTTTTCATGAATATTTTGGGTTTTCATCTACTTCTAGTTTATTGCGGAGTTCGAATTTACATAATAGTGTATAATACTATCTAGTATTCAGAGTCTTAATTTCTTTAAGGATGTTGAACTGTTTAGGAGTTTTCTATAATATTTATCAATTCTCCTGTTATTTCTTATTTGCATTTCCATTTCCTATCTATTATCCTCACTTTCTATTGAGAACTACAAGAATTGTGTCGCCTGTAAGAAGAGAACCTATTCTTTATGATAGTTAGGGCTTTGACAGTGAAACCTTTTTTGGAATCGATCACACCACTTTCATTCCTCAGAATGTGAGGGATCTATGCTAGATTGTCGTGAACTCATAATTCAAGTTCATACCTTTTATAGTCCTTTCATTACAGGAATGGGATTAAATAATTAACCAAGTAAACAGAGATCAAGAATAAAAGATTACTAATTGTCTCACTTACTGAAAATGGATATCAAATCTTGAATTACTTCTTTGGTTATAGTTTGACAGGTTCACTCTCTTCCTGCTGCTTCCTTTTCTTTTTGTTCTTTTCAAGATAAAGTGGTTTGATTGATCTGTACTATGCCATTGGTTGTTTTAGTGGCAGCTGGATGCAGCATTGATCCAGTGAATTATTTTGGAAATGAACATGGAACTCCTATCCTCCGTGCCAATAAACGTGGAAGGGAAGCAGAAGATTTTGGCAGACAGCAAAAGCTACAGATTTCCTTAAATTATAACATTTGTCAAGATGAAGCTGACCGCGCAGCAAGCATTCCAAACCCAAACCCTGTTTCAACTGGGTTGCGTCTATCTTATGATGATGATGAACACAACTCATCCATAACTTCTGCAAGTGGAAGTATAAGTGCTGCACCTTCAATCATCCTGTCCCTTGGTGACAATATTAGGACTGAGGTTGATCGGCAGAACGATGAGTTTGATCAGTATATAAAGATTCAGGTATCAGGTCACATTAACACTTCTGGCATGCTGTTATGCTACATGCTATTAAACTATCTCTGCGTTCTTATCTCATTTCCACTGCTTGCAATTTTGTGCATGATTTCCAAATTGAAATGATTTCTCATGTTTCTGAGTGTTTACTGGGACTAGATCAATTATTATGAAGTTTTCTTTGTTTTGATAAGATAAAGTTCTTGGATTCATGATTACCTGATTGGGGTGGGGTGGTTTACATTGATGATTGTGCGGGAGCAAACCATCTACTTACATATTAGTGTATGCGTTGTTAATTTTTGCCTTTGAATGAATCTCCTTCAAACAGGAGGAGCACTTGGCTAAGGGGTTGAGGGACTTGAAGCATAGACATATTTCTTCTTTGCTTTCTGCCATGGAGAAGGGTGTGAGCAAGAAGCTACAGGAAAAAGACAGAGAAATAGAGAAAATAAACCGTAAAAACAAGGAGTTGATTGAGAGAATAAGGCAGGTGGCTGCTGAAGCCCAGAACTGGCACTATAGAGCAAAGTACAATGAATCAGTTGTCAATGTCCTGAAGAGCAACCTCCAGCAGGCAATTTCACAGGGCGCTGATCAAGGGAAGGAAGGATTCGGAGACAATGAGATTGATGATGCTGCCTCTTACATTGAACCTAACAACTACCTGAACTTTACAGGTCACCCTGCAAAGCCTCTCCTCTGGAATTATCAAGGCTTGAAGGAACATGTGACATGTCGAGCATGCAAAACAAGGGAAGTGTCCATGTTGTTAATGCCCTGCAGGCATCTCTGCTTGTGTAAAGAATGTGATGCGTTAATCAATGTTTGTCCTGTATGCCGGTTGATCAAAACTAATAGTTTTCAAGTGTACTTGTCCTAAAATATGGAGTAAATCACTCAAAGTAATCTACACCCATCATACGAGATTACATGTCAAACTGTTCTTTACCTGACGCATAAGATGTATGTCTAGTAACTTATCTTTGAAGGATGAAAGCTTCCGTTGGCTCTGATCTTTTACCTGCTGCCCGAATGGCGCTCTCTTTCTCTCTCGTCCCTTGTTATTCTTTTCCTTATAGTATTTATCGCCTGCCTTACAACTTTGGAGCCCTATATATGCAGTGGTCTCGGTGCATATAGGTATTGTAGTGATGCTTCATGTTTTGGACTCTCCTCAGTCACAGCAAGAATTAAGCAGGTTCATAGTGCAATAAATCTCAAGCTAAAGGAAGCCCATCTCACTGCAGTTGTGCTGTAATATCTCAAGCCCACTGATCAAATACACTAAATGTGCTGTTATGTTGATCAAAGGCTGAAAAATATGGGATTGAATAATATTAAATGCACTGAAAAGTATGCTGAATTTTAGCAGAAAATCGTTTCGTGTTATTATTATTTTTTAAATCACAAATAAAAGGTATTTCTGAGCTACCTTACATGTTAATCAAGACTAAATTTTCTCTGAATAATATTAAAGATTTTCTCTAAATAATATTAAAGATGCTGACCGAGTCAAAAAAATCAAAGAAAAAAATAAATCTTTTTTATGATATTGCAGTTAAATCTCTTTCCACCAACAGGAAGGCAAGATGATATTGCTTAAAATTAATTTTATTTTTTTTTAATGTTTTTTATGATATTGCAGTTAAATCTCTTTCCTCCAATAGGAAGGCAAGATGGTATTGCTTAAAATTAATTTTTTATTTGTTTTTTTTAATGTTTTGATGTTAAAAATAATTTTTTTTAAATAAAAAAATATATTATTTTGATATATATTCAAGTAAAAAATAGCTTGCTACCACCCTTTTTTTATAAATTGGTACGGGCTACAACTGTAAGGAGATCAAATAAGGGTTCAATTGTATTAATCCATTACTTAATTTCAGAACCAGAATCGAAGAAGTATAGTTATGTTGTTTTTATTGAAACTCCTTCCCTGTCCTAGGCTTGGCTGGCCTAGCACAGGATTCCTCCATGTCAGAAGCGTTTGTGCTGCTTCTAAATCTGTCAGGATTAGCTAAATAAACTAGTGCAAATTGGATCCAGAATCCCCATACTTGCCTTTTAAAATTTTAATTTTTATATATGACAAATTTAGTCCCTTCAACTGGCATGTTCAAAGACGACAAATTGTGTCATGAATTATTTTGATTGCAAGGATCTCGTCATCTAGATGCCAACCGTGTTTAAATCCAAATAAATTAGTTAGCATCTAATTTTGATTCTATTAATAATTGGAAGGATTGAAGAGATATTAATGAAAATCCCAAACAAGGAAGGCAACAGGCCCTTTACAGATTCTCATTTGTCACGTCTTGTGGTCATGCTGTGCCTAGATGATATAATTTAACATGAACTTGGCGGATATAGATATATGTTATAGTTGTCTAATAAGATACAATATGAATATTATAAAATTTATATCTTTTATTTTGTGTTAAATAATAAATAGTATTCCACTATTAAATATTTAAATTTTTTTATATAATGTATAATAAATAAGATATAAATATAATAATAAAAATTGATATGTGGATATTTGTTGTCATTTTTATACTAGTTTTTTTTTTTGGAACAAGGGATGAGTTATGTAATTACCTAGTCACCCGTGTCCTTGAATTATAAAATATGGTATTCACGGTTATAGGGGGTAGAGTTTGCATTCATAATATATCTAGCCAAACTTATAATATTTAACAAATTATAAAATTGTTCTATTCAATTATTTTTTTGGATCCAAGTAGGTTGGATATATCATGTTGAATTAAATTTTTTATGGATATTATAAATATCTATAAGTTAGATTTATATTACTAATTTTAATATGTTATTATTTGGAGGCATAAGTATATCATAGATTGTAAGTATGATAACATTCAAATTATCCTTTATAGGGGGTAGAGTTTGCATTCATAATTATATCTAGCCAAACTTATAATATTTAATAAATTATAAAATTGTTTTATTCAATTATTTTTTTGGATTCAAGTAGGTTAGATATATCATGTTGAATTAACTTTTTTATGGATATTATAAATATCTATAAGTTAGATTTATATTACTAATTTTAATATGTTATTATTTGGAGGCATAAGTATATCATAGATTGTAAGTATGATAACATTTAAATTATCCTATTTTGATAAGACGAGTAAAGTCAGGGTAAATAATACAAATATTACACAAAAACAAGTTTTTTGTAACACTCCTACGTAATTATTATTTGATTGTTTATAAATAAGTGTTTTTTTAATAAAAAACCATCTAAAGTTTTACTTTTATCATCCCATGATTCATTTTCATTTAAAATTATAATATACTTTAAAACTTAAAATAAATCATATAAGTTTAATAGTTATACTTTTTTCCCTCGTCATAATCATCTCCTTGTGATTATTTTGGAAGTACCACACCCAAATTTCGTACCATAATGTTATTCTCATGTTGTGCAAGTCAATATAGTTTTATCTTAGTTTGTATAGTTTTGAGCATGGCAAAATAAAATGGTGTTAGGAGTTGGGAGTTGCCTCAAATGTGAGTTCATTTTTTGAAAACCCAAATTTCAAACTTGCTCGAAACCCATAAGAATCTTCGCGATTTCTTTATTATCCAAAAGCCGTTTTGTATCTCACATGGCAAATTCAAGCATATTTATCGAAAACAATTAATTTTTTATTCAATTATTTATCAATTAAAACATAAACAGGAGAGAAGAAAAGAGAAAGAATAAAATGACAAAGCATAAAATCAGATTATTTAATAAAAAAACATAGATTAACACAAAACTATAATGTTTTTATTTTATTATATGCTAAAAAATACAAAAGATTAAAATAAAATATAACAATTGATTCACATTCAATCTTATATTTAAGGATAAAATTAAATAAAAATTCAATATTAAATAATAATTTAAAAAAAGAATAAAAAACCAAAAGACCACTAAAAAAATTATGAGTTTGATGAAAAATCTATATATATATATATATATATATATATATATATTTTAATAAGGGATGGAAACCTGTCATTCACATCTTCTTTTCTTAAAAAAATAAATTAATGACATGTTATACATCGCATAAAAGCAAATATTACATCCCTTTGCTAGAACCTTCAAACTTGACATTACACATATGTTAAGTATTGAGCTATGACATTGAATTGTTACCTAAACAATTAAAAGAGCATTCAACCTAGTTTACTATTTATATAAATTGTTAAATTGACCAGACTTGTATTTAACAAGGTCCAACTTCTTTGATGGTAAGTCCCAGAGATCAGAGCCAACGAATGAATCATGATCTTCAATTCCGGATTTGGGAGGTGGGCTTTGCTTTGCAAAGAGAAACTTAAGAGTCGTTTAGGAGGTTTCCTAGGATTAAAGCGAGATTGTACATTGCCATTATTGGATTAACTTTGTGAGGTACGAGAGGGAGAGAGTATAGTTATAAAATTACACCCGGTAGTTTACCTAGTATAATAACCGGTTGAAAAGAGAATTTTTAGTATGTATATTTTTTATTATTCATATTTAATTTTTAAATATTTTGGTTATGTTATACAAGATAATTAAAATTTTGTATTTCTTTTTGAACTATTGATCTCGTGAGAAATTAATGTGTTTTCAGATACTCGGTTACTAAGCAGACAAAATCCGGCAATAAAACCGAACATTGATTGAATTAGACTCGAATTTCCTGCACTCCAAATACTGTCTTGTTTTATGGCCCTTATCTCAAGTCTCAGAGGTCCAAAAATTACAAGATTGGTCTTGTTGGAAAGAAGATTCAATTTTCTATAATTTCTTCAGAAATAAAGATCTTTAAATTCGCATGTTTCCTGCCTCAAATTTGGCCTGCAATGTCAGGGTAGGAAGGAATTCAAATTAAAAAACACTGTCTTCACTCCAGCGGGGTAAAAAGACCACAATATAAAAGAAAAAAAAAGGGTTTGCAAGAGAAAGGAGGCATACATAGAGAAACCCAAAAGGAGACTAAAGAAAAGAGGAGGGGGCGGCACCAACAGGAACAAAAAAAAGAACAAAAGCAAAAATATTGAAAATCAGGAGGACACCTATCTATTCCATTGAAATTCTTTATTTTTGAGTGATGTTCATCGTATCAAGTTTGTTTCTCTTTAATTTAACTATGGAGTAGACTTTTATTTTGAGATTTTTGATGTAACCTTACTATGAATATGTGAACAATTTCTTTGATTGAATTATTACATTAAGATGTTGAGTATTTCACTCTATGTGTAATGCTTGTGTGTGTTTGGCCAACATTTGCATGATTTAGAATCCAATTTGAAACTAAGAAGTGATAATTATTTTAGCTATTGTTTGAAATACCTTAAGAAATCTATAGGATATAAATATCCTAGAAACTTTTGTAATCATTACAGGTTTTACAGCATTTAATAAATTTTGGCAAGTTCAGAACTTTCGTAGAGTAGATAAAATTTATTTGTCGAAATAATTTATTGATGCTCGAGACAAATTAATATTTACATAGAAAAACTTGATTATCAACATTAGGAGTAATTAATTTAATTGAGAAAATTCACATAAGCATAGTTACGGTAAGTCAGAAATCCTAGAACTAGTACAATTGAATACATTAATATTTAATCATTTGGTTGTTTGTTTTTTTAATTATTAATTTTTATTTCATAAACTATCTCATTCGATTCCTTAAATAGATCATAATTTAAAAGACCTTCGTAATTAGTGGTAATTTTTACAAATCCTCGTGGAACGATACTCTACTCATCACTTTATTACTTGTTACTATTCGTGCACTTGCGAAATTAACCAACAAGTTTTTAGCGCCGTTGCTGGGGATTTTAGATAAAATTACTAATAATATTAATATAAATTAAATTTGATCTAATTTATTGCCTTTTGTCTTTAGCTTTTTAAGTGTGTTGTCTAGTGCATAAGAAGCAACAAAAACCAGCCGTTGCTACCTTATAATCTTGAGATTGAGAGAACTGCAAAGGGGTTAAGAAAGAAA